AGTAATGTTTGTTCAATCATTGTGTTTATAGACTTTACAAACATCGGATTAGTCCAAACGGTGATACAGTGATGTGAAAAATGTGATATATAGGCTATATATATAGCTAAAAGCTCTGCTGGTTTTCTACCCAGAAGTATTTGTAAACAACAAGGCCATTCCCTCTATAGTCCGGCCGGACGGATGAGTCATGGCCTTGTAAAAGATTATGTTTGTTTCTTTTAGTTGGCAAGAATGTGTCACCGCAAATGCGACAAACATCCACTAACTTTGACGGCGTTTTCTGCGAGCACGGCTGAGCCATTTTGTACCACTACACGTGTTTCTAGTGGGACTATGTTTACAAGCACAAGAGTTCAGCGAGCCACCGAAGGACCGCCCTGCAGATTTGCTATTGTTTCTGCAACGTAGGGAGTTTTTTTAAACTCTGAAATTGTATCCGCCCATCTAAACACAAAATCAGGGAGAAAGTCATCAGTCTTTCGTTAAGCAAAGCGTCTAAAGACTGACTTGTGAGTCTAAGGGCTAGATTTTGTAAATCCTGAAAACAGAACCAAGAGGAGGTACAGAAGTCAAGTGCTCTCTCAGTCCACTTGAATTACAGTATGCTCAAAGCTTATTATAGGATTTATGTCCAATGATGCCAAAATTACACTGCCTACCCCAGATTTAAAGGAATAGTTCATTATTTTGGAAAAAAATGTCTTCACTTCCTTTGGGTGTGTCAAGTACATCAGTGACTTGCATCAGCTATGTGTAAGTTCTCCTCTAGGTTAGAGTGTAAAGTTGACATCAGAGGATTAGTAACTACCAGTCAGTCTGTAACTTAAACACAATGCACAATGACTACTTGGGGTTTAACCTAGTTTGGTCTTTAAGTCTTAAGCAAGTGGCCAATCAACAATCAAGGATAGAGAGGCATTTTAGCCTTTAATTGATAGGACAGACAAGTGTGAAAGGGGGAGAGAGAGAGGGAGTGACATGCAGCAAAGGGCCACAGGCTGGAGTCGAACCCGGGCCACTGCGGCAACAGCCTTGTACATGGGGCGCCTGCTCTACCACTAAGCCACCAATGCCCCAAAATGGCATGTAAACCATGAAACAGTTATGCTGTGTGGCAGCACATACCATCAGTGAGTACAATTCTGTGATATTTAATGATTTACAGTTAAATTGTAACTTATCTCCACAGTGCAAACACTTTTTTTTTGTTTTAGCAATGCATAGTTCACACCTTATTAATACTTCACGTTAGGCAACAGCCACTTTAAGTTTTAATTTACACACAGCAGTCAGGAGGTGGTCAACTTAGCTTAACATAAAGACTGGAAGGGTGGGAAAAGTTCAAATACACCTTATAATTCTTGCTATGTAGTGCTTTTTATGTTGCTTGTTTAATGAAACAGAAAGAAAAAATTACAAGTTACAGATTTTTTAAAGTTATTATTTCTTGTTGAGGGCAGCACGGTGGTGTGATGGTTAGCACTGTCACCTCACAGCAAGAGGGTTCCTGGTTCAATCCCGTGTGTGGGAGCCCTTCTGTGTGGAGTTTGCATGTTCTCCCCGTGTCAGCGTGGGTTTTCTCCTGGTACTAAGGCTTCCTCCCACAGTCCAAAGACATGCAGGTTAATTGGTGACTCTAAATTGTCCGTAGGTGTGAATGTGAGTGTGAATGGTTGTCTGTCTCTATGTGTCAGCCCTGCAATAGTCTGGCGACCTGTCCAGGGAGTACCCTGCCTCTAGCCCAATGTCAGCTGGGATAGGCTCCAGCCCCCCTGCGACCCATAGAAAATGGATGGATGGATGGATTTCTTGTTGATAAACAGCTGGGCCCAGTATTGTGTGTAGAGTCTTGTCAAAATAATGAGGTTGCCAGGTTGCCCAGCTACAGCATGCTTAGTTATCAATATACATGCAATACATATTTAATTTACAAACATTCACTTCCAGGTGAGGCAGTTGCTGTTGCCATACACTAGCAGTCAGGTAGCTGTATCTGAGGGTAAGCTGGAAGAGCTCTACTCAGCCATCCCTTTTCCTGAAAAAGAGAGGTAATGACCACACAAACCTGAACGCATCTTTGTGATAGCTAAATGCAATACGATTGTCTGCTGTCTCTACAAAAACAGTTGCAGTATTATTTTGTGAATCCCTTGTTTGTCAAAGACTTGCAACTGATTAGGAGCTGAAATCCCCATTTAATCTTGTTCCTTAAAACAGAAATGCTTTTATTGTTGCTTGCTTGATGCTAAAGGCTTTGTAATAATACATCAATATGTTGATACAACAGGATTGAGTGTCTTCAGGTGAACACGTCGATCTCAGTGAGGAGCCTGGTGGGTTTCATTGAAACCTGGTCTATGTTCCAAGGTTACAAGAAGAAGGATCCCCAGGCTGCTGGAGACCTGCTGCTTAATACTCAGAAGAGGTCATCTGTCCACACCACACACACACACACACACACACACACGAATTGTACACGTCTGTTCATTCATTTGAATATTAAATGTTTTCTATACCGCTCCACTGAGTACTGAGCTGAATAATCAATCACTGCACTGCCTCACAGGTTTCTGGATGAAATGGGAGTCACTTCTCCAGACACTGAAATGAAGCAGGAGCTGGAGTACTTCTGTGTCCTGGCGTCAAAACCACAATAATGATAATGATGTGTTTTGAGAGAGTTTGAGAGTCTTAGAGACATCGCAGTCTAAAATTTGTGTACTCCAAATGTGTATGAAGGAATGACCTGTTGAATGTGAACATTCCTAAATAAACCCTTTTGTTCTAAGTAAAACTCTTGTTTTCCCAGTGACTCTCTTGTGTAATGTAAGTGGATAAGTCAGCTAATAAATACCTTTGACCAGGATTACAATAATCCTTAACACACTAATTTTTGTTATATAGGGAAGAATGTTCTGACTAGTTTGCAGATGATCTAGTATGTTAAGATATCTGTCAAAAGAGCACCTACTAGTGACTTTATATCTTACCTCTACTGTATTTTGCTTTTCTTAAAGTTTCATTTTGCAGCCAAATTACCTCTCAATATGTTTCCCAATAGAACAGCTGATCCCTGGAAGCAAACTGGGAGGTTACATAACTTGGAAATGCTTCTGAAATATAATATACCTACCACTGTTGTTTCATGAAAGGGGTGCTGAGACGTTTTGGTTTAAATGAGAGTCAAGTTTTTTAGCCAAGCTCTTTAAACTTTAGCGTAATTGGTGGCTGATTAACTTGTTCTAGCTGCTTCAGTGCCTTTCTTTAATCTCTACTTTTTCTCAGTGGGTAGAAGGCAGCTTGATGCTGCTGACAGCTTGTTTTGTACCTGCTTTGTGCTCTGTAAATGAAGCTAAAGTAACTAATGTTCATGGTACGGCTTCTTACAAAGAAACTGAAGACAAAGAAATATGTACTGTGAAGATGTAACGCAGTTATATTTTCAATAACAAATAAAAAGATGTGCAAGTTGCTGTTTTACATAGCAATAGTTTTCCTTGGAAAATCAATGTCTTATGCTGTAAATTCAGCTCCAATTAGCAACAAATTTTCTGGTGTTCACCTAATCCACTGAGGTGAAGTGACCTGAAAAGGGTAACCGCCACTTAAATACCACCAATTTTAGTTTGTACACAAACCCTTTGTTGATAATGTGACTTCCTCACACCGTAGAGGGTGAGATATGCAAAACTTCAAGTGACACACAAACGTTTGAAAGAAAAGATAACATATTCTTTCTCCTTCAAATTAAAAAGAATAATTAAGCAATAAATGCTCCCTTGTTCAACCCAATGAAGTCAAGGGTTTTGCTGCTGTTGCCTTACTTGGTGTAGTATGACCAGTAGCTCATGGCTAATCCTAGCCAATATTAACTAACTTAAGCTGGGCATTGCTATGTAAGTGACAATAATATATAATTTTGATAAATTAAATACTGTTCTAATATGTTTTTACCATGTTTTAGCAAACATTTCAATCGCATAAGTAAAACATAGACTCAAAGACAGCGTATTTCATTGGAAGACGTTTGTATTGTTTCCTATTTGTTGTCCCATTCCACTCACTTTCAACCAGTTTGTCTAATGATGATGTCTACCAATGTTTTGGTAAAGACACACAGGAATATTGGAAAATGCAACTGCCACTTATTGCTGCTGTTCAGCAAAAACTACATAGTCTCACTTTAAGTTAATTTCTAATCAGAAAAATGTTGATATGTGGTGTATTAATAGTTATTATGATTAAAACCTTTGTTGATTTTGAGCAAAATAAGTTTTGGAGTCTCACTGAAACCAATGTAAATTTTGAAAACGAACCACTGTAACCTTGAAGTGTGATAATTTGGTATCACAGCTGTATTGCGACTTACTTTTCACATGGTTGATCAACAAAACCATTCTTGAAATGTCTTTACTGTCTTTATTTACTGCCCTTTGCACCAGAAAAAAGGACTGAATGCTGCTGACCACACTACATCAGTGTGTCACATTTTTACAACACTGATAATGAATAGCAAACAGCCCTTGGTTAAAGAAAACCATGAGATTATGAAATAAAAGAAATCAGTCAACAGATTCAGACTGAGCAGCGTTGCACACAGGATGTTAGCTGTAATAATACTTCTACCATTCGTACCTCACCCTCATCATCTCCAGGGGTTTCAATTGGTTCTGACAGAAATGCATACCATCACAAAAGATGACCCTTACTCACACAGACCTTTGAGCTTGACCTTGATTTCCATTCAACATCAATTATCGTGGATAAATGGTGTATTGCATCACCAACCCCAACCTCAAAATCCGGTATGGCTGACAGTAGTGAAAGCTGCAGTAACATACTGTTAATTAGCAATTCTCTCTTTTTTGTGTCACGTTAAAGCAGTCATGCACACACAAAATACAGTGTTGTTATCAACTGGTATTGCTAACAATAACTTGGTTTTTCACCTAGTACTAAAACAGCTTTTTGTGATCAACTTGTATGCAATGTCATTCCCAGCTCCGTCCTCTGACTTCTGAGGTTAATAGAATGCTGCAAAAGTTTTGGAGATGTCCCTTTAAAAGCCTTCATTGTCAAACATTCCACATACTGGTAGAATTAATGGGACCTCCCTGTTTCCAGGCACCCCACGGTTTCCCTCTTTTGTGTGTGTGGGTTTGTGTGTGTGTATCTGAGTGCTAGCAGAGAGGAACACTAGTTTCAGTTTAACACAAGATAAAACAGATTAATCTCTGTTTTTTTAAAGGTACGCTAGACTGGCTGATGACAGAGGGATCAACTAGCTATGACTTACCGTTTGTATGAAGGCAAGGAGCATGTATCTTCCTACTGGAAGTACAGGATCTCTCCATCAGATCATCTTTTGCAACAAGTGCTTGACTTCCTGGAAAAACAAGTAAGTGCGAGTGGAAAAATTGTGGTATTCGGTCATGTAATTAATGACACAATGAACTACTCATAATCATTCTCAATAAATAATAACAAAACTAAGCAAAGTCATATAATGTGTTAAATATTTTGCCAGAAAGGTCACCCCTTTGAGCTGGCAGTGGATGTCGGTTGCGGTTCAGGACAGGGCACAGTGCTGCTGGCCAAACATTTTGCCTCTGTGGTTGGGACAGACGTTAGTCCTGCCCAGGTGGAGATGGCTTTGCAGCATGCTAAAGAGCCAAACATCACATATAGGTAAGCATGAGCCAACCAAGAGTCACAATTAATGCTATTGTTACAACCTGAGTCTTTAAACAAAGATTTAACAGAGGGAAAGTTAAATACATGTATGCATTCTGAAAGCAAATTGAGACATCATTTTTCTTGTGCCATAACTGTTTCCCTGCAGTGTGAGATCAAGCAAGCCTAATACTGTTAATGATGTTAGATAAAAGCATTACAGTTGCCATCACATCATTTGTTCAGCTCTGAAAATCTGGGAAGCTACTCTAATGAATCTTGGCCAAAGCAGGAACAATGTGGCCCTTGTCTGGGGAAAGTCGGTCATGCAGAAAGGCCTACAGTGGAGGAAATGGTGACAGGTAGTCTGCAGTGTATAAAAACATATTCAAAAACCTTTAAACTGAGTTTTAAAAGTGATGGATTCTATCAAATAAGTTTACACATCATATATATATATATAAATATATATATATATGATGTGTAAACTTATTTGAATT